AAAAAAAAAAAATCCCTTAACTTCACATTTTTTTTAAAAAGATTTATTTATTTATTATGCATACAGTGTTTGGCTTGCATGTATCCCTTCAGGCCAGAAGAGGGAGCTAGACCTCATTACAGGTGGTTGTGAGCCACCATGTGAGCAACCATGTGGTTGCTGGGAATTGAACTCAGGACCTGTGGACCTGTGGAAGAACCATCTCTCCAGCCCTTAACTTCACATTTTTAAAGACGGCAGCTATGTGTGTCTGTGTGACAGTTGCTACCTTATTACACCTTGATTTTATTTTTCATGCCGATCAATGGCTGCCAAGTGGAAGTTGAAAGTGTTCTTGCCATTTTCAAGAGTTTTTATTTGCTTCATTCCAATGTACCAGATACAAATTCTAAGTACCATATTCACATTTATCTTCCACAGAATATTTTTAAAAGGCCTGTAGTTGATAACACCAAAAAATAAAAAAAAAATGGTGAGGAAAGGCAAAAAATTACTCCAGAATAAAGATTATTTTGATGAGAAGGTCATGGTCTTCACAATCACTTTCACCTTAGAAACTACACATTCCTACCTGTAACACAGAGGCAGAGGATATAATATTACCTATCAAAATAGAGAAGTGATTTTTACAAAGACGTTAGATTAACTCATTGTTGAGAATGCAAGGACCACCATCTGTACACCTTTCTACACTTGATCTTAGCCAAAAGGCCGAGAAGCGATCTGTACACCTTTCTATAGCTTATTGACCATCAATTTCAACATACAAGACACTATCAAGGGTGGCTTCTTATAATGAACATTGCTCAGCCTCATCCCTCAAAACTGTGCATCCATCAGGGCAATTGTTCTGTCTCAACATTTTCATCTCTGGTAAGTTCCAAAGTGATACTAGTACTGCTAGGTCAACACCCCACTTAGACAATTACTCCTTTAATACTCAGAGAAACTTTAGAGCAAAAACAGAAACATAGAACAAGAGCTACTTAATACTCATGCATGAGGTAAATTGTCTTTTATCCTTTTTTACATACACTTTATGTAAACAATTTTAATGTTAAGGCTATCACCTGATTCCAATGATTTTAACAGCTGGTAAATCAAAGACTATGGTGAACTATACCTATCTCCAAATAATTGACTACATTTATCAAATGTGGTATTAGGCAACTTTTTATTATTAGTATTAGTGCATGAGATCAAAATATGGATTTAGTTCATAAATACATACAGGATCATGGTCACCAATAACTAATGCTTCTTTTGCACAGTTTCAAATATTACTTTGTATATTCATTCTTTAAATGCACTATAACACACACCTATGCTCATTTATGCTATAGTGGTTGATTCTTCTACTTCTACATGTTCTGAATGTCAAATGAAATGTTAGTTTAGCCATGTTCTTTAAAAGGACAGACCTGATAAAATGGAAATACATAAATGGATTACAAATGGATTATGGAATGTGCCCTGGCTAGCTCCATAATGTCTGTCTCTCATTGGAAAGGCTAAGAATCAGGAGTTGTTCAGTGCACCCCACTGTATGTCTTAGCTGGTCCTCAGTTGATATTTCAATGCTAAAGAAATAAGTTCTGGTTCCATCAAAGGAATGCCTCGGCCACAGGACAGATGAACTGGTCAGTGAAAAAGACGGTAAGCAGGTAAAAATCTTCCTCTAGTCCTTCTTTGTGGGCTGGTTTAGTGTGGGTCCTCCAATGATCCAGTCAAGAAAATCCTTCACAGTCATGCTTTAGTTTTTGTTGATTCCAAGTGTGGTAAAGTTGTCAATCAAGATTAGCCATCTTAAGTCCACCCTTTGTCAACTGGACACACAATCATATCTCTTCATATCATGCTTAATTTCTGAATTCAAACAATAACCAGGTCCTAATTACATGTAACATGACATAATTATCCCATTTATAACCACAAATGCATTATATATTTTACCATAGATGGCAATGTCCCTTGAGGAATGTTTGGGTGTTTTGGGGGGTGTGTGTCTCATAGCTTAGAGTGATAACAATCACCATATTTTCTAAATTGATGTTACATTACATAATAAATAAAGAAAAATTATCTACCTAATACACACACACACATATATGTATATATATATATATATATATATATATATATATATATGCACAAACACATTCTTAACATGTGATGGAAACACTTGTGTCAATTACAATCTGTACTTCTGCAGGTGGTCATGTGACCTCAACTAGTAGTTATGACTACCTTCCTCCATTACGCATTCTGTTTTTCTTCCACCATTCAGAAGTATCTCATCGGGGCTTTACCTAGAGGAGTGACTCTTACCTTGATTCATTAAGAATCTGGGCCTTTTGTTGTCTTGCCTGGATTGGGTGGTTGTAGTTTCCTGTTGACTTTAAACACAGTACATAATAACGCCAAGAGATACCTTCAAGAATCTACTGCACTCCAGACATAATTTTCCTTGTCTCTCGGTAGCATTCGGATAATAGAGTTTTTCATGCTACCCAGCTGTGTAAACTGTGTTTTCATAGAACTTTGTTAACTCCCCTGGGAGTAATGCCTCTGTCTGCCAAAGGAGTGGCATTGGCAAGATGTTTCCTCTCCCCTTCTTAGCAGTACAGCCTAGCTCTTCAAGGACATGACCAATCAGCTCCCATTCACCAGGAGACCTTCAGTTTCCTGCGCAGATCTGATGATAGTGATGAGAAATATTCTGTGTTTCATGGTTTTTCTGTTCCCCTATTTTGAACTCTTAAGCTATTTAAATAAAAACTCAACAGAATTTCAGCAAAGCACAGTTGTGCAGCATAGACTCGAGCCCCTCATTGTGTTGAATCTTGAATTCCACTTCAGTTCCTCTGCCCAAATCACTGGTTCAATCTCAGTACTGAGTAATCTAGTTCAGTAAATCCTCCTAACACTGTCACCCTTTTCTGACCCTCTTGGCTTAAGAGCATCAGAAGCCCAAAGTGGCCAGAAGGAAGTCTGAATATTCAGAGTTCATGGAATATTTGCTTTGTCTCCTCCCAGCAGGACTCCCTTGTCAGGAACCAAAACTTCTAGGTCAGTAGAAGTTGAGGTCACAGGAACAAGAAGCAAACATTTTCCTAGTACATCACTAGAGATGAAGTGATAGGAACCACTCCCAATTAGTGGCACACACACAGAAATTCATGATGCATGCTAAACAGCTTTTATTTAGTGCTAATCAAAATGAATTTGAATGTAAAATATAGTTCAGTAAGATAGCACATGAAAGTAATTAAGCACAAGCTTTGAAAATAATAGATTTAGTAAATAAATTAATTTTTCCACATATAAGCATGTTTTAAATACAAATAGAAGACAAATAATAACTGATTAGAACAGATTGCATCTCACTACCTTCTAATTTCAATTTTATAGGTAGCCATTTTGGCAAATAGTAAACCATATTTTGCCTTAATTGAAGGCCAGTAATGTTAATGTTAGTGAAATAATTAAATAAAATTTATATGCTTAGGGATCGTCCTGTAGACAAACCTGTGGGGCATTTTCTTGATTAGTGATTGATGTGAGAAGCCCCTCCCCTTTCGTAGGCAGTGTCACCCATGGGCAGATGGTCTTGGGTGGTATAAGCAAACAGGCCAAGCAAGCTATGGAGAGTAAACCAAGAAGCATTGTTCCTCCATGGCCTCTGCTTAGGTTCTTGCCTCTACTAGGTTCCTGCCTTGAGTTCCTGTCCTGACTTCCTTCAGTGATGGAATGTGACCGAAGATTTGTAGATGAAATAAACCCTTTCCTTATAAAAAGAAATTTTATATGCTTATTACTGAATTTAAATATGGATTTCATGTAAAAAACTAAAATGATTCCAACATGTACTTCATTAAATTATTACGAGAAGATATATTTTATTTATTTTTTTAAACTTTCATTTTATTATCTTTTTTAAGAATTTCGTATATGAGTATTGCACTACCATAATTTCTATCTCCCTTATCTGCCTAACACCTCTCATGTCCCCCCTTCTCTCCCTCAAATTCATGACCTCTTCTTTAGGTATTATTGTTACATATATATGTTCATATATACAAACATATGTATGTGTAAATACAACCTGTGGATTCCATTAGTGTTGTTCATATGTGTCTGTATTTAGGGCTGACCACTTAAGATTACACGATTTATCAGGGGCTCATCCCTGGAGAAGGATAATTAGTCCTCTCATCGGCCATTAATTGCCTATAGCTCTTCATTTTGTGACATCAAAATGTCAACTAATGCCATTGTGCAGATCCATGACTATATTGTTACCA